GGTCCTTACCCAGAGCTAGTGGGCTGCCTCATGTACCTGATGACCTGCACTCGTCCTGACCTTGCGTACCCTCTTGGCCTTCTGGCTCGCTACGTGGCTCCTGGTCGGCACCGAAAGGTGCACATGGATGCTGCTAAGAGGGTACTACGCTACTTGTGCAGTACATCGGGCATGGGGCTCGTGCTTGGAGGGCGGAGCTCAGTTGTCCTCACTGGGCACTCAGACGCTTCTTGGGTTGACGACCTAGCTACGCAGCGGTCGTCACAGGGTTACACCTTCAGCCTTGGCTCTGGCTCTGTTTCTTGGCGTTCTACATGCTCGTCTTCAGTTCTCAGCTCCAGTTGTGAGGCTGAGATCTACGCCACAGCCATGGCTGCACAGGAGTTACGCTGGCTCACCTACCTGCTGACCGACCTGGGAGAGCGGCCTTGTTGTCCTCTAGTGCTGTACGTCGACAACAAGGCCGCCATTGCCTTGTGTGAGGAGCACAGACTGGAGCACAGAACGAAGCACATCGCTCTGCGTTACTTCCTAGCTCGAGAGTTGCAGCAACGGGGTCAGCTTCGTCTTGCTCACGTGGCCACTCGGGCCAACACTGCTGATATATTCACCAAGGCGCTTCCGTCTGGTGATCATAAGCGCTTTTGTACTTTGTTGGGCCTTGTGCCTACGTTTCCACACTTGCTGTAGACTCTGCTTGTACTGTGATATATATATATACATATATACCTGCATGCTTGCTTTTGCTAGGTAGTGATCACTGTGCTATTGCTGCATATACATCTCTGCATATACATCTCTGCATAGTGACCTTGAAAGACCCGTGAACTTCGCTCACATAGTAGCGCGCACCACGGTTAAGTTTGGTGCGTTGTGTTCCAAAGCGGTGAAAACACTTATTGTTGTTTAGAGATTTGGTGAGTCGAGAGAACCCCGTCTTCGCTAGGCTATTCGCCAGAGTTCGGAATCAGCGCTGCTGGGCTGAGCGGTTGACAAGGCATTAAAACCTGGTAACCAGTTGCGAGGATGAAGGGGGGGGGAGTGGTAATTGGGGCACCAGCTGGCCCACATTCTTCAGTTGATGGTCTGAACGTCATGGATGGAACTTTGCACACTTTTGGACTACAGTACCATTGCAAAACGGCCAATTTTATTACCATGCCGTTGCAGAACACGCCCCAAACCGTCAGCACATCCACCCCTACCAAGCCAGCTTCACTCATCTCACAGACCTCCACACTTCCGTACAACAAAGTTCGTTTGCTCAAACCCCTCCTCACCGTTCTGGGTCGTCAATACACCGCTCTTCAACAAAATCTTTCATAAGCTCTTCAAACATAGCACTTAAAGCCGGCGGCCCAAATTGTTCATGATTTTAAAAGTTGACCAGAGGGAGTTTTTCTGGTGTGGGCTTTGGCGAGAGTTTCCGATTTCGTCTAGGTTCGTTTTTTTCGCGAGACCCAGCCAACCCTCGGTTTTCCCCCTGGTGAGTGAATCTGTCTTCGAAAGTCCCAAATTGCAGGTGCGTGACTTTCAAAAGCTTGGACACTCAACTTCGTCAAGTTTTAAAAATTTGACCCTCGCGGCCCGCAATTTGGGGCGCGGGCTTTAAAACCAGGGTCTCACGTAGATCAATTGTTTTGCAGTTGATGACTTGACCTTGGTTAGGATTGGATGGCGAGGTGTAAAGAATGACGAGGGGTGTGGCGAGGGGTGCGAAGGAAACACAAATCGCAGTTTGTGTCCGAACCAACCAGGCACGGAAATTGGTTCGGTGCCAAAGCTAGAACACCAGCAATTTGTGCGAGCATTCCGAAAGTCTCATGTACCAGGGAAATGTTTTGCAATAGCTTCAGAGGCAAAAACGTCAGGTGTCGCACAGTCAATTGCCAGACCAATCCCTAGACTTCGCCACCTCAAACAGGGTGACTCAGCATCAATTGTTTTGCAGTTGATGACAGTTTTCCTTACGTGAGACCCTGGTTTTAATGACGTCCTCTCACCTGACCAAGTCCAGTGTACGAGCCACTCTCAACAGATGGAAACTGCTTTCCATGATTCAACAGACTCTCTTATCTGTCAGCCATTGATTTTCCCAAGCCTTGAGGGCTGCGAATCCGTACGTTCAGTGTCCGCGTATATTCCTTCGCCAACCGCCCGTCGCGTGTAGGTCGCTTGGTTACCGATCTCAGTAGACAAAAAGCCCAATTTCCTGATTGCTCCGTTTCATGTATCTCCTAGATTCTGTACTGATTGATTCATTAGTTCCGCGTTGACCTTGAGCAACCGGGATCATGCTCTAAGACGCCTGTCACTACGGCTATGTCTCCTATTGAGCCACTGATTAGTCTGGTTTCGGATCGCGTGGATTCTTCGCGGTGCGATTCGGCTTAAAATTGTTTTTGCGAACGATCTTCGCTACTGTCGCACTCGTTAAAAGCACAGCAACGATGTCTCGCTTCGCCATTCCGTTCCTCGCTATAATCTCGATCTCTGCCTTCGTCGCCTCCTACAATGTCGTCGGCATGATCCTCAGCACCACGCGTCAACGCATCTCTATCCGCTCTAAAAGCTCCCTCGGTAAAGCCACCTTCAGTAGTAGTCGCCTTCAAAAAGGTGGTCGACCGCTTCTCGGAAAACCACTTCCCCAAACCAGCGGCTCTGGTTCGGATTCCGTAGGCTCGGATGGAGGCTCGGCAGTGGTGAAACGGCCGGAAGGTCCGAGCTCCGGTGTGAAAAAGAAGCGGTATTTCCGCACGGCGATGACGTGTAACGACTCGCCGTACACCAAGTGGCAGTCTCGGATCATGTACTTCTACTATAACAAGTACCGGAACGATCCTGAATCGGAGATGGGGGGATTCACCCGCGTGCTGCACTCGGGGAAGCCGGACAACCTGATGGACGAGATTCCAACGGTCGTCGTCGATCCGCTGCCTCCGGGCATGGATAAGGTCAGCTGAAGTTTGAAGTTTAATTTGCCTTTTGAGGCGCGCCCAAAAGTCGTCGTCGATCTCCTGCCTCGGAGCATGGATAAGGTCAGCAAAAGGCATTGAAACGTGTCACATTGTTAGAAGCCGGACAACCTGATGGACGAGATTCCCACCGTCGTCGTCGATCCGCTGCCTCCGGGCATGGATAAGGTCAGCAAAAGGCTTTGAGACGTCTCAAGATTAGAGTCGTCTAAAGCATTCAATAATCTCAAAAGCTGGACAACACGATGGATGAGCATCCGACGGTTGTCATTGATCCGCTGCCTCTAGAAGTTTAAGCCCAGCCAGCTGAACCCGCTGACTGTTTGTCTGGTTTATTATCCTTCTTATCCTCCTCCATTGCCAGTTTGAGTCGTCGTGATGCAACGCCTTCCTTGGTAAAAGAGATGTTTTGAGACGTCTCCCCCTTACCCTTTCCCCCCTCCCTCATAAAGGGGTAAGGGAGGGGGAGGGGGAGGGGGAGGGGGAGGGGGGAGGGGGAGGGGGGAGGGGGAGGGGGAGGGGGGGGGGGGGGGGGGGGGGGGGGGGGGGGGGGGGGGGGGGGGGGGGGGGGGGGGGGGGGGGGGGGGGGGGGGGGGGGGGGGGGGGGGGGGGGGGGGGGGGGGTGGGGGGGGGGGGGGGGGGGGGGGGGGGGGGGGGGGGGGGGGGGGGGGGGGGGGGGGGGGGGGGGGGGGGGGGAGGGGAAGCGACCGGAGGAGGTGTGAAATAAGTCACAATATGCTGCGTGACCAGGGAATAGGGCGGTGACACCTGCTGTTGAGAGGGCACCAAGGGATACCAGGTTGTTACGAAGGGAGGGGATATAGAGACCTGTGACGTTACCTGAGGGAAAGAGGGGACAGGGGAGTGTGGAGGTGTAACGGCTTTGTATGGCAAAGCTTGAGTCAGCCCCATAGATTGTGGAGGGGATGAACTCAAGGGGCTGAGGGGAGGAGGAGGACACGGAGTACTGGAATGAGGACTCATTAATAGCATTGGCATACATAGGATCATTGCAAGAGCTAGCAATAGTGACATGACCTATGAAGCCCGTGGAAGGAAACGGTGTGAAGCCGGGGGGGTGAGAGGAGGAGGTGGGTTGTTCAGCAGCTGCGGCAGTTGCAGCAGTTGCGGCAGTTCCATGGCCATACATAGATGGGGGGTAGGGAGGGTAGGGCCAGCCGGCATAAGGAGGAGGATAGAGAGGAGGATAGGGGGAGGGAGGGGTTTGAGGTGGGGGCGTGGGTGGAGGCGGAGTGGTGGGGATGGAGGGCGTGGGGGTGGTGGTGGGTGTGGGGAAAAGGTGTTGGACTTGCTGGAGGACGTGAGGGGAGAGGTGCTGAGCGAGGACATTATGGAGGTTAGGTGGAGAGGGAGCATAGGTGGAGAGAGTGCGAATGTCATGAGGGGTGGGGCGAGGGGTGATGGTGTTCCAACGTGGAGGGGGGCCTGTGTTGCCGCGTGCAAGCCATTCATCAGTGAGGGCTTTGAAGCACGTTTCAGTTGGGTGAGTGGTCTGGTTGCAGGTCCGACCTTTGTTGGGGCCTTGACGAATGACGTACTGGCATGGGGGAAACCCACTTGTGGATGGAGTAGTTGCTCCACGTCCGCCGCGTTCCCCAGTGCTATGTTGGCAGATACGCTCTTGAAAGGCTGGCGTATCACGTATATTCGCTAGCGTATATGCGTGATACGCTGATACGCTCTGAATTCGCGAAAATACGGCCGGGCAGCCCGGCGAAAAAAAAAATCCGAAATTGAAAAACTTCGCGACGATGTGCGAAGTCGCGAAGTGTTACCGCGACTTCGCTCATGTGCCCAACCCCACTTCTGAACTTCGAATTTCAAAATCCAAACTTTCCCACCCCCTCAACCACACATCACCCCACCCAACCTCTCAATCCCAACCACCCCCTTCAAATGTTCTTCCATCGTTTGCACGTATAGGTCGACGTTGCGCAAATGCTCTTCCATTTCCTTCCCGCATTTCTCCACTCTTCTTCGTTAGTTAGACTTACGTAGTGCGCCATGGCGTCGGGCTCAGCTCCTAATACTTCGACGAACAACAATCCAGCCTCTGTCCATGGCTCTACTACCGTCAACACGGATCCTGTTGAGGCTGGACTATCTCACCCCATTCTGAAACATTTCCTCATTCCGTTTCACACCAAAGGCAACCCCAAGCTGTGCAAGTTCTGTGGCAAGAAGTTCGAGGGCGGAACAAACCGCTGTGCAATCCATCTCGCGACATGGAAAGGGCAGGAGAAGCGCGCTGTGGCGTTATGCAAGGACGCGCCCACGGCAGTCCGCGATGAAGTCCGTGGCATGTACGAGACCAAGGCGGAACAGCAGGACTTGAAGCGAGGGGCGGCCACTGCTGCAATCCACTCCGCGCTTGACGCTGTCAGTGGAAACCCGGAGAAAAAGAGCAAAATTACGGATTTCTTTGGCAATGAGGCGACGTGCGCCAAGGAGGACGCGGATAACGCGCTTTGCCTTCTGTTCGCGGCGCTGAAACTTCCGGAGCGCATTGCGGACAATCCGGTCTTCCGCTACGCGGTCCAGTGCATTGCGCGCGCTGGACCTGGGTACGTCCCTCCTAAGAGGCGCTACATTGGAGGGGCAGGCTTGAAGAAGGTGCGGCAGAAAATGGAGGTCGCGTTCGCCCCCGTTGCCGCGAGCTGGAAGCGGGACGGGGTAACGGTGTCGTCGGACATGATGACCGACCGTTGTGGCCGCCCGCAGGCCAACGTGCTCCTTGTCAACGACTCCGGCGCAGTTTTCGAGCAGGCGGTGGACTGCAACATGGAGTCGAAGACCGGGGGGTACATCGCCAGCCTTCTCCGCCCCGTCATTGATAAGGTGGGGCCGGAGAATGTGGTGGCGGTCTGCACCGATGGCGGCAGCAACTATGCATCGACCGCCAAGAAGATTGCGAGCACATGGCCGCACATTGAGCATGTGCCATGTGCCATGCATGTCCTGGACCTGATGATGGAAGATATGGGCAAAATGGGATGGGCGAAGGGGCTTGTGGAGAAAGGAGGGGAGATGATTACCTTCGTGCGCAACCACCACTTTACCCGTGCCTATATGAAGAAAGTGGGGGGGAAGCAGGTGCTCAAGCCTGCGGGAACCAGGTTCGGGACACAATACATAGCCATGGCCCGGCTATGTGAGGTGAGGAGTGGGCTGGCGGCGATGGTGCTCAGCGACGAGTGGAAGGTGTGGGCAGCGGCGGACAAGGATAGGAAGACAGCAGCTGAGAAATTCAGGGCTGCTGTGATGGATGAGGAGTGGTGGGGGGTGGCGGAGTTCTTTACCTCTCTCATGGCGGTGCCATTCAAGGCCATGCGGGCCGCGGACTCTTCCGCGAAAGGCATGATGGGTAAGCTGTATGACATCATGCTACAGCTTACCGAGGACATCAATGACAAGCTCAACGCTTCAAGTGACTTCTTGACTCGGACAGAGAGGGCAGACATCACCAAGATTGTGAAGGACAGGTGGGACAACTCCCTTGCCTGCCCCATGCATGTGGTTGGCCGGATCCTGAATCCGGCCAACCAGGAGGAGGGAATTTTCAGGAACGATGTGGAGTGCACGCGGGTGTTCAAGGACTACATCGAGCGCCACTATGACAACAAGACCTTCAAGCGTGGCAAGGATGGCGCCCCTCGCCGCGCCTCCCTTGTGCTGCAGGAGGCATTGCTGGCCTACATCAACATGGAGGGCAGCTTTGGCAAGCCGGGCGCCATTTCTGCAAGGGAGGCAGTGAAGAAGGGGGAGATGAGCATGGTGCAGTGGTGGTCGTGGCACAGCACCGAGTATCCTGAGCTTGCCGCCCTCGCATGCCGGGTGCTCACTCAGCCCGTCTCGGCTTCCCCATGCGAGCGTGGCTGGGCGCAGTGGGAAGGCGTCCACACCGCCCGCCGCAACCGGCTCGGGTCCGCCAAGTGTGCGGACCTCGTCTACATTGCGCACAACTGGAACGTTGTGCGCAATTGGTACAAGAAGGATGGGGGCAGCACGGTTGTGCCCGGTAACATCCCGGATGCCCCTATCCCTCCCGGCTATAACATGGATGAGGAGGAGGATGACATGCTGGGGGAGGAAGGAGAGGATGCAGTGCTGGCGGATGAGTATGGGGAAGGTGTGGTGGTGGAAAAGCCTCGCAAGGAAATCGGTTGTGGGGAAGCTAGCTAGAGGGTGGGGTGGGGTGGGGATGTATGGGGAGAAGTAGCCCCAAATATGTATTTTTGGATATTTATGAAATTTAAATTATGACTTGTGTTCTTGGAAAACAATCCCCCCCCTGAAACAGGTTTTTTTAGCCCTGCCCGGGAAAAAAGTTTTACCTGCCCGCCCAGCGTATTTTTGCGTATCACCAGTACGCCAGCCCTGGCGTACCACGTATATACCCAGCGTATAATACGCTAGCGTATTATACCCTGGGACGCGTATCTGCCAACGTAGCCCCAGTGCGCCCTCCTCGTCCGCCTCCGCGACCGCCTCCTCGACCACCTCCGTTTGAGCCACGTCCAGCTCCACTGCTGCTGCTTCCGCCGGCGTTAGTGGTTCCTTTGCGAGCGTGGACTGCATTGACCGTTGCAGAGTCACGTAGGAGGTCAGCCTCACTGTCAAGGAGCCAGTCGATGGTAACAGCCACAGGAGGAGGACGAATGTGCTGGGAGGTGAAGTTGATGCGGTAAGTGTCATAGGTGGGTGGGAGGCTGTCAAGGATGCGTGCTGTAAGAAGGGTGTCTGAGATCAAGATGCCTCGATCATTGAGGCGTTGCGCAGTATCCGTGAGACGCCGAGCGAAAGAGGCGGCATTGAGGGAGGAGTCAAGGGTGATGTCTTGGAAGGTGCGAAAGAGGGAGAGAAGGGAACGTAAGTCCTGACGATCATATTGAGAGGAGAGAGACTTCCAGAGAGAGGGGGAGGATGGAGGGCGAAGGTCACGTTTAAGAGAGGAGGGAATGCACGAGAAGAGGACAGTGAGTGCACGGCGGTCAGCAATGCGCCATGCAGCAGTATCAGAGTGGTGCTTACGAAGGTTAGTAGAGTATGCTTCGGAGGTGGCTTGAAACTCTGCAAGCTTTGCAGTAGCAGCTTCGTGAGCGGCGACGGCAGCCGCGTGTGCTCTGCCCTTAATGACATAGTCGTCCCGCTCCTTGTTGTACTTGTTGAGGGTGCGAGCCCACCTGTCTGGGTCATCCTCCCAAGCCCCTAGGATGGGGGCTTGAGGGGCGGGTTCGGTCGGGAGTGGTGGGGCGTCAGGGGGGGAGGAGCCTGGGAGCGGGGGCGGGGTGGGAGGGAGGCCGTGAGGCGTTTCGAGGACGACGTCAAGGAGGCAATAATCTCCCACTCGAACGGAGCCAAGGTACATGAAGAGGCTCTCTTCAAACGACACCCAATTGACTGCGGTGGTGCCGTTGAGGAGCTCGAGTTTGTCTATTGAGGCGAGCTCAAGTGACGAAGGTTCGTCCGCCATGACGAGTGAGGGAGGGAGGGAGGAGGGGAGGGTGGAGGTGCTAGAGGTGACGACGCTGTCCGGAGGGACGGCGCGGTCAGTGGTGGAGATGAGCTGCGTGCTGTCCGCAGCTGGTTACTCCCCCGTCTGGTCGCGTTCGCGGCTGCTGCCTGCGTCCACGGCGGCTGCCCGCGTTCGTCCCGTCCGCGGCGGCTGTCCGCGGATGTCGCGTCCGCGGCGGCTGCCCGCGTTCGTCCCGTCCGCGGCGGCTGTCCGCGGATGTCGCGTCCGCGGCGGCTGCCCGCGTTCGCCCCGTCCGCGGTGGCTGTCCTCGGATGTCGCGTCCGCGGCGGCTGCCCGCGTTCGTCCCGTCCGCGGCGGCTGTCCGCGGATGTCGCGTCCGCGGCGGCTGCCCGCGTTCGTCCCGTCCGCGGCGGCTGTCCGCGGATGTCGCGTCCGCGGCGGCTGCCCGCGTTCGCCCCGTCCGCGGCGGCTATCCGCGGATGTCGCGTCCGCGGCGGCTGCCCGCGCTCGCCCCGTTCGCGGCGGCTGCCCGCGTTCGTCGCGTCCGCGGCGGCTGTCCGCGTTCGTCGCGTCCGCGGCTGACGGCCGCGTTCGTCGCGTCCGCGGCTGACGGCCGCGTTCGTCGCGTCCGCGGCTGACGGCCGCGTTCGTCGCGTCCGCGGCTGACAGCCGCGTTCGTCGCGTCCGCGGCTGACGGCCGCGTTCGTCGCGTCCGCGGCTGACGGCCGCGTTCGTCGCGTCCGCGGCTGACGGTCGCGTTCGTCGCGGCGGACGGTCGAGGCGAGGAGAGGAGCGCCGAGATGGCGCGAGGGGCACGGCAGAGCCGGCGGACGTGCGCTAAGTAGCGCGAGGGGCGCGGCAGAGCCGGGGAGAGGTGCGCTTAAGTGGCGCGAGAGACGCGGCAGAGCCGGGGAGAGGTGCGCTAAGTGGCGCGAGAGGTGCGCTAAGTGGCACGAGAGGTGCGGCAGAGCCGGCGAGAGGTGCGCTAAGTGGCGCGAGGGGTCCTAGGAGCGGCGTTAGCCGTAAGAGCTCTGATAGCATGTAAGAATTGAACCAGTCACTTGATTAGGAATCATGAGGGTTTACATAGTGGAAGCTAGGGGAGGGGGGGTTGGTTGGTTACCTAGCCAACATTATTGGCCCCCCACCAATAAGTTGGGTTGGAGAATTATTGGGGGGTCCCAATAATGTTGGCCAAAGGTGGGCCAACATTATTGGGGGGGCCAATAATCTCCCAACCCAACCTTGGAGGCCAATAATTGGACCAAGGTTGGGTTCCAACCCTCAACTAGGGTTAACCCTAGTTGTGCACCCAAACATAGTTTGGGTGCCTATCTCTATCCTAGGGTTTATAGGATCAATGCAGGATACAGAAGAGTAGTATAATCTAACACTGGTGAGCTGGTGAGCTGGTGAGCTGGTGAGCTGGTGAGCTGGTGAGCGGGGAGCTGGTGAGCGGGTGAGCTGGTGAGCTGGTGAGCGGGTGAGCGGGTGAGCGGGTGAGCGGGTGAGCTGGTGAGCTGGTGAGCTGGTGAGCTGGTGAGCTGGTGAGCGGGTGAGCTGGTGAGCTGGTGAGCTGGTGAGCTGGTGAGCAGGTGAGCCGGTGAGCCGGTGAGCCGGTGAGCTGGTGAGCGGGTGAGCTGGTGAGCTGGTGAGCTGGTGAGCGGGTGAGCGGGTGAGCTGGTGAGCTGGTGAGCTGGTGAGCTGGTGAGCGGGTGAGCTGGTGAGCTGGTGAGCTGGTGAGCTGGTGAGCTGGTGAGCTGGTGAGCTGGTGAGCGAGTGAGCTGGTGAGCTGGTGAGCTGGTGAGCTGGTGAGCTGGTGAGCTGGTGAGCGGGTGAGCGGGTGAGCTGGTGAGCTGGTGAGCTGGTGAGCAGGTGAGCAGGTGAGCCGGTGAGCCGGTGAGCCGGTGAGCTGGTGAGTGGGTGAGCTGGTGAGCTGGTGAGCTGGTGAGCGGGTGAGCGGGTGAGCTGGTGAGCTGGTGAGCTGGTGAGCTGGTGAGCGGGTGAGCGGGTGAGCTGGTGAGCTGGTGAGCTGGTGAGCTGGTGAGCTGGTGAGCTGGTGAGCGAGTGAGCTGGTGAGCTGGTGAGCTGGTGAGCTGGTGAGCTGGTGAGCTGGTGAGCGGGTGAGCTGGTGAGCTGGTGAGCTGGTGAGCTGGTGAGCTGGTGAGCTGGTGAGCTGGTGAGCTGGTGAGCTGGTGAGCTGGTGCGCTGGTGAGCTGGTGAGCTGGTGAGCTGGTGAGCTGGTGAGCTGGTGCGCTGGTGAGCTGGTGAGCTGGTGAGCTGGTGAGCTGGTGAGCTGGTGCGCTGGTGCGCTGGTGCGCTGGTGAGCTGGTGCGCTGGTGCGCTGGTGCGCTGGTGCAGGGGCACTAGGGCACACTGCATGTGCCACAGCAGCATCAGCCATGCTGGGATATACGCACATCCTGAGAAAAGACTGGATGATCCAGGTGAGCTAACTCTAGAGGCGCCTCAAGAATGATCCAGGCAAGTTAGCGAGGTGGGGTGGGGAGCTGTAGACGCTGGTGATGGCTGCTGGCTTAGGATAGGTGGTACACACCCCATCCCCATCTGCCTTTTGAGTCGACTCAAAAGTCACCTGGTGATGGATAGGTGGTGCACACCCCATCCCCATCTGCCAGCACTGTATCAGCCATGCTGGGGTACACGTACTACACGCACATAATGGCTCTCTAAGAACTGGCTCTTCATACACGTCCATACTGGCCTCCGCAGCCCACCTGTTCGACTTCGACAGCTCACACCCCATCCCCATCTGCCAGTACTGTATCAGCCATGCTGGGGTACACGTACTACACGCACATCCTAAGAAAGGACTGGGGTGAGGGGCTGGGGTGGTTTGGTGGTGGACCGTGGTGACTGTTCGTGGCTAGCGGCAGGTGGAGCTGGGGTGGGGTGTACAGGCACACTGCATGCGCTACAGGCACACTGCATGCGCTACAGGCACATTGCATGCGCTGCAGGCACAATGCATGCGCTACAGGCACACTGCATGCGCTACAGGCACATTGCATGCGCTGCAGGCACAATGCATGCGCTACAGGCACATTGCATGCGCTACAGGCACACTGCATGCGCTACAGCATCAACCATGCTGGGGTACAGCTGTTGTGCCACAGCATCGCCCATACAGGGGCACACACACATACACGCACACACACGCACAGTCTGAGGAAGGAATGGATGATCCAGGTGAGCCTGTGTAGCCACGTGTAGAGAGGGTATTTTTGAGACGTCTCAAAAATACCCTCTCTACATTTGAGACGTCTCAAAAATCGTCCATACAGGGGCGCAAACACATACACGCCGCACAGTTTGAGGAAGGAATGGAATGGATGATCCAGGTGATCCTGTGACTGCCCCTCTCGCCGCGTGTGTGCCCCTCCTTCCCTTCCATGCCCCTCTCTCCCTCCCATGCTCTTCTCTCCCCTCTATGCCCCTCTCTCCCCTCCATGCCCCTCCCTCCCCTCCATACGCCTCACTTTCGCCCATGCCCCTCTCTCCTCCCATGCCCCTCTCTCCCCTCCCTCACCCCGCGTTCCCCTCCCACTCCCCTCGTTCCCTCTGTGCAGCCTCCTTGGGACAGAGCAGTGGGCGATGCATACATGATTCACTACACCTATGGCTGTGGCTACGACCTCCCAGCTGTCAGCTGTGGCTGTCAGCCTGCGACCATGACCTCCCATCCCATGCCGCGCTTATGCATCCATGCCCCCCATGCCTTCTCCCCCCATGCATCCTCCCTGGGACAGAGCAGTGGGCGATGCATACATGATTCACTACACCTATGGCTGTGGCTACGACCTCAATGCCCCTTTCACCTCCCATCCCATCCCATTACCCTCTCCCATCCCATGCCTTCCTCCATGCAGCCTCCTTGGGACAGAGCAGTAGGCGATGCATACATGATTCACCACACCTATGGCTGTGACTATGACCCCAATGCCCCTCTCCCCTCCCACTCCATCTCATTGCCCTACACCTATCTCATTACCCTCTCCCATGCCATGCCTCCCTCCATGCAGCCTCCCTGGGACAGATCAGTAGGCGACGCATACATGATTCACTACACCTATGGCTGTGACTACGACCTCGATGTAAGCACATATGGGTAGAATAACAAACTTGCCGAGAAGGGAGTGTTATGCTACTTTGCATGACCTCCCAACTGCCAGAATTCAAGACACTTAGGTGTGTGACTATGACCTCAATGTAAGCATACATGGGTGTACTGTGTAAGAACACACATGGGTATAAGAACACACGTGGGTATAGGAACACACATGGGTATCAGAATACACATGTGTATAGGAACACACATGGGTATAAGAACACACATGGGTATAAGAACACACATGGGTATAAGAACACACATGGGTATAAGAACACACATGGGTATAAGAACACACATGGGTATAAGAACACACGTGGGTATAAGAACACACATACAGAGTGGGTAAGAAAGGGTTCCGTTGATGACACGCAAGGCATCGTGGGAGGGGGGGGTGAAGTATTTTATGTGGACAAGTGCCCTTGTTCGAGACGTCTCAAAACATCACTTTTATCACGTTATGACACGCGAAGCATAGGGGATAGGGGGGAGGGGCGGGAAGTGAAGTGTGCTATGTGGACAAATGCCCTCGTTCCCATCTCGTTTTACTGCCTTTTGAGATGTCTCAAAACATCACTTATATCACGTTATGGCACGCTAAGCGTAGGGGGTAGGGGGGCGGGGCGGGGCGGGGGGTGAGGTATTCTATGTGGACAAGCGCCCTCTTCCCATCTCGTTTTTCTACCTTCCATATCCTCCCATCCTCCTCCCACACATTCTACTCCCAGGGAAACCACCTGCCAGGCAAGGTGGGGCCATGGCACTTTGACAAGAGAGACCACCAGACAGCCATTCCTCGCAACATCTCCTACCCACCCGCCGGCTCTGCTCCCTCTGTGGTACGTGCAAATGGTAATCTCCTCCAGTAACCTGAGTAGATGGTTATAGATGGTCACCCGATTACCTACCATGCAAGGTGGGGCCATGGCACTTTGACAAGCGAGACCACCAGACAGCCATCCCCCGAAACATCTCCTACCCACCTGCTGGCTCCGCTCCCTCTGTGGTACGTTGTACGCGCCATTAGTGATGCCTTCTGGTTACTTGATTAGTGTGGTAACCAGGTTACCTGCCAGGCAACGTGAGTCCATGGCACTATGACAGCCATCCCCCGAAACATCTCCTACCCGCCCACGGGCTCTGCTCCCTCTGTGGTACGTACGCGCCAGTGGTGAAGTCCCCCACAGTTATCTGACTAGGTGGTAACCCAGTTACCCGCCAGGCAAAGGTGGGTCCCTGGCAGGCAGGCACTTTGACAAGAGAGACCACCAGACAGCATCGCCGAAAAACCTCCCCTGCTCCCTCTGTGGCACGCGCGGTCAAACTCAATGGGCACATCCCCCTCTGTGTCTTGTCGCCTCTTTTGCTTAAGCCCGTCCCCCGTTCTTCCTTCTCCCTTTTTGAGGCGACTTGAGAATCGTCTCATCACATTAAATGGGCAATTCTTGTCTTGTTGCCGCCTTTGCCGAAGCCCGTCCCTCGCTCTCTCTCTCCGCACGGCAATCTTACTTGATGAGACCGGTACGTCTTTCTTTCGTTCTCATCCGTCTGTATTTCTTTTCCCGTTCTTCCTTCTCCCACAGAGTTTTCTTGAAAACAATCATCCCTGTTCCCTCGTTCCTCCTTCCCCCTCCCCCCCCCCCCCCCCCCCTCCCTCCCTCCCACACCCCCTCTGTTTCTCCCTGTGCTTGCTCTTTTCTTCTTTGCCACTTTGTCTGTTTGCCACACCTACCCTCTTTGGTCTGTGTGCTTGCCTGCACGTCTCCCTGGGTGGTGCCTCCCTCCTTTGCTGTCACAATGCACTCTGCAACGCAGCGACCCACTCACTTATGTCTCTCCATGGACCTTTTGAGGTGCATCGGAAGTCCCCTTCCACCCTTATCCCACCACTCATTTCCCCCATCCCACACCTCCACCCCTCTGTTTCTCCCTGTGTCTCTTCCCATTCCCTTTGCCGCACCTACCCTCTTTGATCTGTGTGCTTGCCTGCACGTCTCCCTGGGTGGTGCCTCCCTCCTTTGCTGTCACAATGCACTCTGCAACGCGGCGACCCACTCACTTATGTCTCTCCATGGACCTTTTGAGGCGCATCGAAAGTCCCGTTCCACCCTTATCCCACCACTCATTTCCCCCATCCCACACCTCCACCCCTCTGTCTCTCCCTGTGTCTCTTCCCATTCCCTTTGCCGCACCTACCCTCTTTGGTCTGTGTGCTTGCCTGCATGTCTCCCTGGGCGGTGCCCTCCTGCTTTGCTGTCACAATGCACTCTGCGACGCGACGACCCACTCGCTTACTCCTCGCCATGGGCCACTGTGAATAACTCAATACACTGCACTACATGGCTGTATAACTATATGGATGTTATCGTTTCATGTGATTCAGTTTGAGCTTATCCGCCGGTTAAACGATGCGACGTGGTCGCTCAAGTGGGTTGCCGGGGCAGCGTGAAACTTAGATAGCACCACATTTCTCTCACTTTGTTCTGCTTTCTTTCACATGGTAGTGGATTTATGTGTATATGCGCCCCTCTACCCTACAGTCAAAGTAGAATATTCAAGCCTGGCCCTACGATATCAGGAATTTTACCCTGAAATTCCTGATTTTCAGGGTTTTTTTTTTACCTACTCTGAAAATCCAGTGTTCAGCTTTTCCTAGGGCTGATTTTTCAGCCTTCACATGCCACATGACTCTGAACTTTCAGCAATTTTTTTGAAGTGACACTGATGCCTTTACGTTGTAACGAGTTTGACCCTGAAAGCGAATCCTACTAGGTACGAGTGTACTTGACCGGAGGTACTGGGAAAATCAGATTCCCGCGGTGTCAGCAGGGCCTGTCGTTGACTATCGGACAATTTTGCCCACACTGATGGCCCCTTAGTTGGCGCGCCTGGTCCGTTCATTGGCCACATTTGCAACATTATGTGACTTGACCAATTACAAGGTTGCAGCACAGAGATGCTGGCAGGCTGCGCTGCGAGGGATTCTGGCTGTCTAGGTCGTGCTGGCAAGCACTGATGCATCCACGCCTCCCAGCCGTGCTACCTGCCATCCAGCCTCACATCCCGTTCTGCTGTTTGCTTCCTTCCTAGTGTTTTTACTACTAGTAAAATAAAGACTACTAGTATCAGCCTTTTTCTGTAGGGAACACTGATGCATCAGACTTTCTTTTAAAGTAACACTGAACTTTCAGGCTTTTTTTTTAGGCGACCCTGACGATCAGGGTCTAGGGGCAGAGGGACCCTGATACCCTTACGTGCCTAAAAGTGAATTTGAGGGCCTGATTCAAGCCAATCTGGAAGGATGCCACTTGCTGAAATCGGACACGCTATGCGCGCGGATGGTCCGGCCATTGGCAATGGGTACGGCATTGTTTATGCATCTTGGGTGATATTACGAGTGCAATTGAGTGATCGAGCGAGAATTGCACTATCGAAGCAAGAGTACAATGAGCGAAGGCGTGAGCGAAGAATATATAGCGAAACTACAGTGGTAACGGTAATGGACCGTGGTTGTCGCGCGACGGGCCTGGGACTGAGGTTAGGGAAAATGTCGAAGCGGAGGCCCGGAGCGCGGGTTACCCGCCGAGCCGTGAGGTCGGGGTGCGACGTGCGAAGGTGGCGGGAGGATTGTCGATGCGAGGGTTTGCGAGTGGTAACGGTGCTGACTGTGGTGCTACAGTGGTGTACGCGCTGAGCGGGGACGCGAAGTAAGGAAAAGGAATTTTCCTTACACTACCCCCCCCCCCCCCCCCCCCCCCCCCCCCCCCCCCCCCCCCCCCCCCCCCCCCCCCCCCCCCAAGGAGGTCCTCCTTACGAAAGTGCGTGTAGATCCCTGAAGTTTCGGCTGCGCAGATACTCTGTGAGGACGGGGTGGTTTTTGACTCTGTCCAGGGGAACCCAGTTGTCTTCGGTGGGTGTACGGTCTTTCCAGCGGATCAGGAACTCGATCCTTCGGGCTCCTCGAGGGTCACGAACTCTGTGGCTCAGAATTTTCTCGGGTGTGATGATTGGTTTAGTCGGCGGTCGTCTCATGCTGGCTGGGCGATTTCGTGGCAGTTGGCTTGTGGACGAGACGTAAGGGCGAAGCAGGCTGACGTGGAATGAGGGGCTGACGTACCAGTCAGCGGGGAGGAGGAGGTGGGCGGTGACGGGCGTAATCATGTGGCTTATGCGGAATGGCCCGCAATATTGGGGGCGGAGTTTTTGGGTGATGGGCAGGCGGAGGTTCTGAGTGTCGAGTAAAACTAGGTCGTCAGGTTGGTAAGTGACAGGTCGGCGGTGGCGGTCGGCGTTACGTTTAGCGATGATGTTCGACTTTTTTATTGCGTCTGCTGCCCGGGTCCGTGCTGCTTGTAAAATTTCGGCGAATTGTTGTGCTCGTGGCACCGGGTTGTCGGGATTCGGGGTCATGGGTACTGTCGGGTCTTGTCCGTAGTTCAGGTAAAACGGTGACTGTTGGGTCGTGGCGGATGGTGAGTTGTTGTATGCGAACTCAATGAGTGGCAGCTGTTGTTCCCAGGTGGTTGGGTCGTCGCACGTGGCTCGGATGAGTTGCTCCATAGTCTGATTTGTCCGTTCTGTCTGTCCGTCGGTTTCGGGGTGGTATGAAGAACTGAACTGTAGCTGCTGCCACAGGTTCCGCCAGAAGTTGCTGGTGAATTTCGTGTCGCGGTCGCTGATGATCGCTGATGGTATCCCGTGCAGTCGAACGACGGTGGAGATGAAGAGTCAAGCTGTTTCTTCGGCTGTGATCGATTTTTTGCAGGCCGCGAAATGTGCCATTTTCGTTAGTCGATCGACGACGACTAGGATCGCGTCGTTCCCACTCGCCCCGGCCAGTAACCCCGTGACGAAGTCCATCGTCACCTGCTGCCAAGCACGCTCTGGGGGTGGTATCGGCTGCAACTGCCCTGCCGGCCGCTGGCGTGATGATTTCATGAGCTGGCAAGTGGGACACGATGCCACGTGTCGTTGGACGTCGGTCAACATCTCGGGCCAGTAATAATACCGCTGCAGCTGCTGCCGTGTTTTCTCTACCCCGAAATGTCCCGAGAAAACTCCGTCGTGTGCCTCCTGTAACAGTAATTCCCGTAGCAGTGTATACCCGGGCACCCAGATGCGGTCGGTCCCGGCTTTTACGTGATAGACTCCCCTTGCTGCTGCGAACTGCTGCGAATTTCCTCCTGTGAAGAATGGATCCGTTTGGTACCCGTGGGTAAATAGGCCTGTCAGTAGGGGGCTGGTCTGGGCGAGTAGTATTGCATGGATCTCGGCAGTGGGGCAGGTCAGTGCGTCGGCGATGTTCGAGGCTCCCTTTTTGTAGGTGACCGTGTAGTGAAAATTGGACTCGAGAAAATCGAGCCAACGAATCTGTCGTGGGTTGAGGTGTGGCTGTGCGCGGAGGTACTGTAGTGATTTATGGTCTGTCCGTACTGTCACGTCTGCGCCGGTCAAGTAACAGCGCCACACTTTGAACGCGTGCACGATCGCAAGCATTTCGCGGTCGTGTATCGGGTAATTTTTCTCGGGCGGATGTAGCTTTCGTGACTCGTATGCGATGGGCTGTAGGCCGTTGCCGAAGTCCTGTAGCAGTACGGCTCCGATGGCGATGTCGCTTGCGTCTGTAACTACTTCGAATGGGCGGTGTGGGTCGGCGATGCGCAGGACGGGCGGTGAACAGAGAACATTTTTTAGTGCAGAGAAGGCAGCATGCTCTTTCTCCCCCCACGTAAAAGCAACCCCCTTCCGTAACAAGTCCGTCAACGGCGCTGTGAACCGTGCCATGTCGGGGACGAACCGACGCACGTAATTGACGAATCCCAAAAAACTCGGTAGTTCCGTGATATTCGTCGGGGGGTGCCAGGCATTGATCGTGTCTAACTTCTTCGGGTCAATTTCGACCCCAGCCTCCGAAATAACGTGCCCCAAAAACTCTAGCCTGTCCTGAAAAAACTCGCACTTGGAACCCTTGGTCAGTAGCCGATGCTCGTCTAAAATCTTAAACACCGCTTCCAGATCTGCTAAGTGCTGCTGCTTGTCGCGACTGTAGACGAGGATGTCGTCGAGGTAAACTATCACACATTTATCTAAAAGTGGCCTAAACGCCTCGTTCATGGTCATCTGAAATGTCGCTGGTGCGTTGGTCAGCCCAAAAGGCATCACGGTGTACTCGAATGACCCGTACCTAGTCCGGAAAGCTGTTTTGGCGCAGTCCGATGGTTCGACCCTAATCCGATGGGAACCTCCCCGTAAATCTATAGTCGAAAAAACCCATGCTGTTCGCAATTGGTCGATCAGTTCGTCGGCGCGGGGAATGGGGTACCGCGACTTGACTGTTACCCTGTTGAGCGCTCGGTAATCGATGCACATGCGAAACCCTCCGTCTTTTTTTGGCGTGAACAGTATCGGTGCGGCGAACGGTGACGAGCTCGGTCGGATGAATTTCTTCTCTAACAAGTAATCTAACTGCTTCCTCAGTTCGTCGAGCTCGGGTTGTGTCAGTCTGAACTGGCGTTGTACAGTTGGGTGTGCCCCCGGTTCAAATTCTATTCGGTGGTCACGTGCTCGCTGAGGTGGCAGTCCTTCCGGTAAGTCGTCGGGAAAAATCCAGGGGTATTGTTTCAACAGTTCCCGTAGTTCGGGCGGTACCGCTGCCAGCATTTTCTTGAAATCACTCGGCTGCTCTGCTTCCTCTACTACTGAAATGTCTACTGCGTACACGTCAGCTCCAGCAGTGACAACCCGTTCCATAGTGACGGCGTTGACGTGTACCGTTGAAGACTCGGGCGACTGCCAGCGAGGTAGCTCAACCCAGTTACCGCTACTTCGCACAGTGCAGCTACCCGTCGTCCAGTCAATTCGCGGGTTATACCGTCGCAGCCAATCACGTCCCAGTAAGATGTCGTGCCCATCGAGTGTCGTCGCGAGCATTTCCTGTGTAAATCCGAAATTTCCCCCGCAGCGGACTTTGACTCTCTCCACCCTTTCCCGTATGGCCAGTGGCGTGCTGTCAACTAAGCGTGCATCTATCTCAGGTAAACAACGGCTAAGTGTCAGTTGCAGTCTTCGTGCAGTTGCGGTATTAACTAAACCGTGACTTGCTCCTCCGTCGATAAAAATCTTCACTGCTGCTCCCTGTATTTTCCCGTGGATCAGTACTGGGCAATCCGTCGCTGTACCCTCCTTATTTGTCCGAGCCCGATCGATAGCATGAATCGGTACTGTGACTCGGTGAGGGTCGGTGGGGTTGGGCGAGCAGGCAGTCTCGTCAGTAGTTGGCCCGATTCCTACTGACTGCTGGCGTTTCCCTGCCTTGGAGACTCCCTCCCCTGCTCTGCTCCGCGGCGCCTCAGCTCCTCTGGGCATTCACTCTTGCGATGGCCCGGCCTATTGCAAGCAAAGCAGCGCCCCTCAAACGGCGCGGCAGCTGCATTTGTCGCAACGGCATGT